TGTCACATGGCTGCAATGCTGTGTGTACTGATTGACTGTACACGATCAAAAGCATTGTTTCCATCCGACTAAACCAGCACAGCTGTGGCGCACCCATAGAGGCTCCTATTGCTAATTTCATCGTGAGGAGTCTGAACTCTGGATGTTCCAACATCCAGTTCCGAACAAGGAAAGGACAGTTCATCGTTGGGAGTACGGAGATGAAACCTACCTGGACGCCAGCATCCTACACAACTCGGTGCCACTGGATCCCTATTTCCCCCGATCTTGCACCTCTGTTCAACCAGACTCTGGAAAGCAGCGAGTCCTGGACCGGACCCTCTTCAACAAGCGTGAGACAGTGGTCGTTGGTAGTGGTTTCACAGCAGGCATTCCTGCTCGTCCACTACCACCCACACCAACAACATTTGAGGATTTCCTTGCCACTTTGGAGCCTTGGGAAACAGCTCTTTATGACGAGCTTGAATGGATGGTGGACGCTTACTCCGTCCTGCAGATTGTCACAGCCATGCCCTTCTGGGTGTCAAGTGATGGGGCTGCAGACATTGATGCCGGAAAGGCGAGTTTTGCTTGGGTTCTGGCAGACAATCGCGGTCAGATTGTGCTTCGATGCTCTGGTCCCGTTTTTGTTATGGTACCGACATCCTACAGGGCGGAGGCTTATGGCATTCTTTCCCCTACTTGCCTTCTGTGGAGATTGCTGGAGTTCTATGACCAAACCAGCATGAAAAATTATGTGCACCTGTGCGACAATGAATCCGTTACCAACAAGTGTGCTGGCTGTCTGGATTACGAGGGCTGGTACCCCAATGAATCCTTAGACCCCGACTGGAATGTCTTACAGCAGATCGAGAATTCGTTCCGGGCTGCTGTTACTGTGCCCAAGATGGAGCACATCAAATCGCACCAGGACAAGCACAAGGCAATCGAAACGCTACCTTTGAAAGCTCAACTAAGCTGTAGAGCTGACAAACTGGCAGGCAGCTACATGACCAGACACATGAAACAGGATCACTCCAAGGTGCTCCGATTTCCGGCCAACTTGGCCCAGCTGCACCTTCCCAAAGGAACATGCACATACAAACTACCCAGAACACTGCGGTATCTCAGGAACGACCAGCCATTGTTCGACCACATTGTCAAACTTAATCCAGATTGGGACGAAGATACACCGGCACTGGTTGATTGGACAGCTCATGGTCGTGCTGTCAACCGTCATGAAATCCACAAACTGACAATTGTGAAGTTTCTCTTTCAATTGTTGCCAGTTGGGAAACGAATACACCGGGATGACCCCAAGTACGATCACCACTGTCCCCGTTGCGGGGGTGATTATGAGACTGAGACCCATGTTTACAGATGCCCGCATGTTGACGTGGATTTGTGGCGAGGGACCATGCAACGAGCGATCATTACAAAGTTGCGCAAGGACTCCATAGACCCCTTCCTCCTGGAAATTGTTCTTGATGGGCTTCAATGTCACTTTGAATACCGGTTCCTACACCCGTGGCATTACCTGGAACGGTATAGGGATCTTATTGACACTCAAAATCTCATTGGTTGGGATAATTTCCTGAGAGGACGATTGTCCAAACATTGGGCCAAGCACCAGGATGCATATTTGCATCGGGTCGGCTCCAAGGAGACCACCAAGACCGGGCAGCTTAGGGTCACCAATCTGGCTTCTGTTCTGATCCAGCAGTGGTGGAATCTCTGGGAAGATCGCAATGCAAGCCAGGCACGACCGGGATCAGGAACAGAAATTGCGCAAGAAACACGAACAGCTCCAAAGAGAGGTTGAGCTCTTGTATGAAAAAGTGGATCTGCTCCCAGAGCATCCCCTTGATACCATCTTCAAACGACCCCTGGAGGAATAGATGGCCAAAGGGCCAGGAGATATCAAAGCATGGCTGGCCAATTGGCTTCCAGTCGTCGACAAAGCAATTAGGGATGCACATGCACGTGAGCAGCCTTCCCAATCAGGGTAACTATGCGCCGATGTGGGATTCCCATAGCAATAGCGGGCGATTTAGCCTCGCCTAGATAGTTAGTCGTACAGCACCCTCCGGAGTTTTGTTCAATTTCTCTGGTGGGGGGCTTACACTAGGCCCATCCTAAGTGGGCGCCCTGGTGCGCCTGAGGTATATGGGTTCGTCATGGCACCGTTCAGCGGATTGTCTGACGAGGTGTAGCCTTTTTAAATAAAATTCCGTTACTCCTCAAGAATGATGACAATACCAGAAACAAAGACTGGATTGCTCGATCCATGTCACGTCCTTCCTTCTACTACTATCCATAATAATCTTTTGCTCTCGATCATCATCAGCTTTCTTGCGTGGACGCGACCGTTGCAATCACTCGTTCTGTGGAATCTGCAACGAATGGTGGTGAGATTAGTGTGGTGGATTATTCCAATAATAATAATGGTGAAACACTACTACCAGTACTGTTAATAATGCCATCGACACCGGCATGGTGTCAACTCGAAACGGACCGTACGATTAGATGCATGGTCCTGGATCGCATCAATCAATACCGACCGCTGTGGCGTTATGTTGAATGGCAAGAACTACAGTATGACGTTGCATACATACGTATGGGGACCATTCGGACAAGCAACGGCATCAAGCCATTGGGTACCATATATATAGTCAACCACAGTAGCAACACTACTTCTACTAGCTAGTACAGATGTCATGATTGGAGGCTATTCGTCCAGTCTGACGCGCACCATTGCCCCCATTGTCCAAGCGCACAACATGGATCTCGTGGCAGGAGGTTCTTCACAAACCAAATGTCTTTGAAAATCGCTCTCACGTCTTTTGGCATTATTCCTCCCGGTTCTTCCGTACTACTGTAGCACCAGCGTTGGAAGGAGTGGCGAGGCAAGTCGCCAAGACGATTGCGTCCGTGGCGGAAGAGGGATCCGGCACCTGTGATTCTCTACTACCGCTATATAGCCCAACAATCACAATTTGAGAGTATTGGCAGATCCCATGGGATCAACGCGATTGTTTGACCAAATCCACCTGTGGTGCCACCGGAGGAATCTGTCAACAGAATGGAACCTGTGCCTGCACCCAAATAGACAATGCCATTACATGGTCATTGGTGTCCGTTGGAGCAGGGGCGACGGCAGCATGTAAATTGTTGCCAGAGGAAGACATGAACTACATGCAAGAGTGGTGGGTGTCCATTGGCATTCTGTTGGTGGTCCTGCAGTTTGTCTTTTCCATTCTGTTTTCCGCATGGACATTCTGCTATCGAGAGCATCCCATCATCAAAGCATCCCAACCGCAATTCTTGTGGATGATTGCCTTTGGCTGTTGTGTCATGGTCACTAAGTGCCATTATTCCCATGTTGCCACAAGGAGAATATCGCCATGTCCAAAATCCACTCACGGGACGGGAGACCAATATACCCAATCCGGAAATTGCAAAACTCGATGCGGCGTGCATGGCATTGCCGTGGATGGCCTGGCCTGTCTGGGATTCACCATTATCTTTTCCGCATTGTTTGCCAAGATTTGGAGAATCAAAAAGATCCATTCCCATGCCGAGCGGTTCCGGCGTCAAGAGGTCATGATCCGAGACGTCATCAGTATCATGGTCGTCATGTTGGTCGTGGAGACTGCCGTCTTGCTCACGTGGTCGTTGGTGGATCCTCTTCAGTGGAATCGTACCGTCTTGACGGAAGATGCCGATGGGTATCCCATTGAATCGGCGGGATCCTGTAGTTCGGATTCTACCGTCTACTTTTTGTCCACGCTGGCGGTCTTTAAAGGTGGCTCGTTGCTGTATGCACTCTATTTGCGCTGCATGGATCACCCGTCGCATCCCTTCGGACTTTCAAGAAGGTCGATGGATTGCATTGTGTGTCTATTCCATCTTCCAATATCTCATCATTGGCATACCGGTGCCTGGTGATTGCTTCCGATGACCGAGATGCCACCTTCTTTGTCATGTCCGTGGGGCTCTTCTTGGTCAGCGCTACCGTCACGTTTCTCATTTTTGGGCCAAAGTTGTGGAAATTCATTTGGATGGATCCCAACAATCCATGGATATGTCTCTTGTGGTTCGCAAATCCGCCATGAATTCTTCGACAATCCCCAATCCGCAGTATGGTACGGACACTAATAGTCACGTGCAAGATTACACCCGGTCTTTTGCGACAACACGTGCCAGTCAAACGCAGGATTTCACGAGACGTGCCGTCTCCACAACAACTGAGAAATGGAGTCCGAAAGAGCCACAGTGTCGTGGAAGCGGCGTATCGCATCCCTTCCTCCGGCGAGTTTGAAAATAATGATTCGGAACCCGACAACGTTGAGATGGCGCTCCAACCGCTGGAGTGTGCTTCGAACGATGATGCCGAGGATGCCCGGCCGATGTGCCCACTGGTTCGTAAGAATCGTCATTCTGGACTGCGGATTCGTTATTGAGGCAATGTAACATCTCGTGGACGTCGCGCCAGCAAGCTGCTACTAGCTAGTGGCAAAAGAAATGGGAGGATCCAAGAAATCCCGTCAGCTCCAGACCATTTGCAGCACGGCATCGCGTGGAATGTCTCCAATGGTTCCACATACGGACTACTGTACGGTGGACTCGACTTGCTTTTGAGGCACGTTCTTGTGCATGAACC